ACATTAACCATCCACCAACAACAGCGTCAATTATCGATCTAAGAGATCCCACCAATCCATTATAAAAAGTTTGAATTATTAACCAATCTAGCAATGCATGGTGTGGGCACTTTCTAAGGAGATCTTTAAATCTTTCCCATGCTTCATAATTGATTCCCCTTCAAACTGACAAAAAGATATAATATCATTTCTAAGCTTAGCAGTTTTTGAAGGTGGGAAATATTTAGATAAAAATTTTTGTGATAAATCTTTCCAAGTTCTGCTAGATCCAAGTGCTATCAAGTTTAACCACATCTTAGCTTTATTCCTTAATGAAAAAGGAAAAAAGTCTAAGTTTGACTACATCATTTGACACTTCATCATATTTAAATGTAGAACACAATTATAGAAAACTATCAAGGTGTAAATTAGGATCTTCAGTTGGTGTTCCCCCAAACTGGTTATTTTGAATCTTTTGATTTCGATAATAACATGTTTAAGCTCAAATGAATTGGCAGCTACAACAGGATTTTGTATACCAAATGAATTTCATTTGTTGTATGATTAACATAATTTCTTAAAGGTCTCTAATGATGTTTATTTTTATTTCCAGCATTACTCAAATTGCAAGTCATTTTGCTAATATGGTCTATCTCTTTTTGTTTTTTTTCAAACTTTTCTGATTGTTCTTTCTAACTCAAAACTGTAAGGTACTAAATTTTCATATCTTACACTATGCATAAACAAACACAACAAGTAATTTAAAAATAAGCAAACACACTTAAATAAAAAATATTCAAACTAAACTACAAAATTTTTTATTACTTTTAAAATAAAAATATTATAAATTATAAAATAACTTACTACTACTTTCCATTACTTCTCCAGCAACAGTGCCAAAAACTTGATACAGGTGGATTTAGTGTGTTAATTTTGCAAATATTTTTTAATATTACAAAATACACACGGCAGATACAATAGCAAATATGAAAATTAATCTCAATAAAATAACTTTAGTGAAAAATAGTTTTATCTTCTAAAAATCTTTAAACTGTCAAATCCCTTGTAAAAATAATACAAGTATATGTATCGCTCAAGTAATAAAGGACTCTAAGGGAATCCTAGATATCGATCCCATAGGAAAGTTGGAAATGTCTATAAATAAGCACTTAAAATTATAATGTAAAGTATGATTTTAAACTACAAAAAGTAATTGCAAAATTTGAATATTAAATAGAAGAGTGAGTGTTAAGTAAAATGCATTTGAAAGACAAAATTAACTAAACTAAATGCTAAACTTTTCAATCAAAAGTAAACTTATGAAAACTAAACTAAGTTTTTGTGACAGAAAGTTCAAATTTAAGAAAGCATCCTTCCCCTTTACAATGAACATATAGATTGTAAAGAAATTAAAATCGTTTGAAAAAATATATATATAATGTTTCGTGTCAAATAGATGTCAAAAAGAAGCAATCTTATTCTTTACCCTCTTCCGAGTGCATAAAGAACATTGGCTAGTCTAGAGTTTGGTCCCTAATTTCGTGGCTACGCTGAGTGGATATCAACTGCTACTCCAGAGCTTCCACTACTCCCTCACCTGAGGGCTAACAATCTCGCATCAGTTTCCAATCAACTGTATCCAATCAACTGTCAATCAACTGTACCAAATTGGGGATTCTAATCTGTCACCTTAAAATCTCCAATTTTGCATCCAACAAAGTGTATTTTCTTATTTGTCTACACACAATCCCATAAATGAAATACTCTCCCATGAAATCAAATGTGATTCTTCCCATGTTGTAGAAATCATAGCCCTTTCAGAACATATGATTCTCAATACATTTTAACATGTCAATTGACCAGATCGAAAAGTAAATGAAGATCAGAGTTCAAATCATCACAAACCAATCATCACTAATTATTGACATTTAAAACTGTATAAAACAAAATCAATTTTTCACAAAGTAATATCTTAAAGTAGGGAGAAAGATAAAGAAGACTACTCAGAACTCATGAAAAGGATATGACAAAACACAAAATTTCATATATTAAAAACAAATTTACAAAACAAGAGAAATAAAAAACACAACTTATCTCACAATCCTTCCCAAAAAAATCCCTAGCCTTCCCATCCCTAGAAGTTCTCTTCAAGTCTTTCTCTCTTTACAAACACTCTCAATTCTCTCCTAGAAGTGTAATGAAGAAGAAATATCTCACCTTCCCTCTCCTCTTACAATCCTTGAAGAAAATCTCCAAGCCCTTGACTTTCTCTCTCTCTCTCTAACTCTTCTTCTTACCCTTCACGCCACACACCTCCTCTATAAGCCCTAGACATCCCTCTCTTTTATTTAAGGCTACCTCCCTCTAGAAAGAATTCAGAATCCCCCCCAAAACTCTATCCAAAATTGAACTCTTTTGAATTCAAAAGAGAGGTCCATTGATCCAAGAGACATATCCCTTCATAAAAAAATCTTCTAAAGTGTCTTGATGTATTAAATTACTCCAATGGGTGTTTAGAACAAGTGTCTCTTTGAAATTCATGCAAATTTTTTTCTTGAATCGCGTTAATCTGCAAAAAGTCATCCCAGGCGCATTTGACGCCAAATCTGGCACATCATGCGCCAACTCACTGTCAAATGGCAGATCTGGCGCTAATCTAGAGCGTCATACGCCAGTTTGCTGAAGACCGCACTGTTATGGGTTTTGCCGCATCTGGCGCCAATCTGGAGCATCATGCACCAATCTGGCGCATCTTGCGCAAGAATCCAAAAATTTGCTGTTTGGGCTCCAAATTTTGTCATTTTTGCTTATTTTGCTCCAAATGCCTAAAATTGATATACCTGCCCTGCAACAAAAACATGAAAAGCAACAAAAACATGAAAATACCCTTATTTAAATTGCAATATCACCAAAAATAAGCATAAAATATATACATAAAACTACATATTATTTTTGGGTATCACACGCCATTTTTTGTTCCTCTTTCTTGTTGAAAATGGCAAGGAGGTTTCCCTTCAAAATGCATTTAGGTAACCAAAAGCTTCCACATGACCAGTTTTCTAATTCCCCCATGCAAATCTTTTGCTAAGCCAAGAAAATCAGCACATTTCGCTTGCCTAGGGACGTGTTTCGGGCTGCAATCCTGAGAAAAATCGAGAGTAGAAAGTAGGCAAGCACTTAGGCACTGGGTCCCTGACATGTAGGCGCTATATATGGAACCAAGGCGTCGATGTTCGAGCGCCTAGTTCTCGTGCTCTTGGTTTCATGACTCATTGGAGCTATTCATCAGATCTAGTGCCTAGGTTATTGAGATTGCCACCTTCCTTCTAAGCTCTCAGATTCGGGCACGAGGGGGCTGTTTTGGGTGCCTAGGCGCCGAGGGCTTGGCAACTAGGCGTTAGTTGGGCCCGAAAACCCCTATTTTTGCTAAAAGCATCTGACGAAGGGTTTTGGTTGTCCTTAAGCATGGGAGATTTAAATATGACTAAAATATACTCCCCATAACTTCAAAAATTAGCGCTTTCACAGGCATTACATAAATGAATTTCTTGCCAACAGGCGCCCCGAACTACAGTGCGGACACAATGCTCTAAACCCAAATCTTCTCGAAAATGCACACAGAAAAGTCTTATAGAGCTCTGAGCAACGGGAGGCTATGTGTGTGCGTCATGTGCTGCAACAACATTCGAATAGGAAATCCAACCATGTGTGACAACAAAAATAGTTGCCAACAAAGATTTCTTTACCCCTTGAATCAGTGTTGGTGTTAAGTGATAATGACGCTGACATTTCAAGATACTGTATTCCAACAGTACCCAATCATGAGATATTAATCACTTTTCATAAATAGGGAAACTCAAGAAATGATTATGAAAATCATCCATGCTCTTCTGAGTATCTTTCGAAGGAGGCTATTTTCAACATATCAAATCATCGCACCTCAAAATTATAATATATTATAAATAATCCCGATATGTATGATATAACATTTCAAAAGATTAGTGTATCAGAGTGCTAACTAAATGCAATTTCACCTAGTAAAGATATGATTTCGTAAACAATCAGTGATATGTAAAACATTGAAGTTAAGCAATAACTACTAGCATTTCAATTTCGATATGCAGTAGATATATATTCAGACAATAACATCAACATATGCTTGAATTATATTTGACCAATTTTTAGAGATGGCTCGAGCTATGTTATCATATTTCTTTAATATTTTTTGAATTATGTTTGGACATATTGTTTGATTATTATTAGAGTTAGGTTAGAACATGGTTTGAAAATATAATGTTTAAACATTTGTTCTAAGAATGTTCAAATGTGTTACAAATCATAATCAAACAATATAATTTGAATAAGATTTTGACATGCATATATTTCAACTATGGTCGTCATATTCTTAGAAAAATGTTTGTGCAAAGTTTGTAAAGACATTCTGACGAGGTTTAGAGGACACTCTTAGATATTTTATTTTGTACCTTCTCCAATTAAATGATTTAATCTTTGATTCATTATGTAAGCATCAAATAAGATGATGCCATTATTTGTTGAAGTCATTGATGAATGAAAAAGTTGTGAACTTCACTGACATCATTGTCATTTTCTTCGCCAGTAAATGATCTTTAAGTGACATTGTGCCTATGATAAGTGAAGAAAACTTATGTGAAAAAAATGAGATGTCATTCTTCCTAATTACTGATGATATAAAATATCGAAAGTATAGGGATTTTAAATATTGAAGTATATTTTCTTAAAAACTTAAAATGGGCACATTTATTTAATTTCTTATATCTCTAAAATTAATTTTAAAAAAAAACAAAATAAAAAAAGACAAAGTTAGCATTTGGGAATCGCGTCCCTGAGGATAATCGACGAAGTCAAAGTCACATCCGGAGACTCGTAATTTCCACATCCCCTCCTACCGGACTACCTAAAGGCCGAAGCTACGGGCAACCTAATCTCCATTAACTTCCCTCATCGTGCACCTTTCTTTCTCTCTCCTGTCTAGAATCTTGACTGCAGCTCGTTCAGCAATCGCCGCCGGCAAATATGAACGGCCGGTGGGCTACCCTTTGCTCTTCCACGCTTCTGCTTCTTTCCATGGCGCTAACTACCGTGTCAGTCATGCCAGAGGAGGACGTGCGGTGCCTTCGTGAACTAAAACAATCCCTCGGCGATCCCGATGGCAACCTCGCTTGGAATTTCTCTAACAACACGGTCGGATTCTTCTGTAACTTCGTGGGCGTGGTGTGCTGGAATCCACAAGAAAATCACATCCACTCGCTCAGCCTCCCCTCCATGTCTCTTACGGGAAGCATCCCATCTGCCCTAAAATTTTGCAGTGTTGTTAACGCCCTTGACCTATCCGGCAACTCTCTCACAGACCACATCCCCCCAGATTTTTGCGAATGGATGCCCTATTTAGTCGATCTCAATCTCTCCGAAAATAGACTAACAGGCTCAATCCCCCCTGAGCTCTCTAAATGCAGCTTCCTCAATTCTCTTACCCTCTCTTTCAACTCCCTCTCTGGCACAATTCCCGCCTCCCTCTCTCGCCTCAACCGACTGAAGCACCTCGATCTCTCTCATAATGCTCCCTTCGGTGAGATCCCACCATCCCTTGCCTTTTCATTCCCTTCTTCCTTTGTCTTTGACTCTAACGACGGCTTATGCGGTCGCCCCGTTTCATCCCACTGTGGATCCCGCTCCCACACCATTCTCATCATCATCATTGCTATCAGCGTCTTGGGTTCACTAGCTTCTATTGCCCTCACCTACTTCGTATGGAGATGCTACTTCTCTGAATAGAAGAAGACCAGAGATGTTCTGGAAGATTCCAAGTAACTTGCACGCTCAATGGAGTTGTTCAATGAATCTAGACACTTGGAAAGGCTAGAAGTGTGTCTCTTGGAGTGAAATTGTGTGTCTCTTCTAGTGAAGCGGTGTGTCTCTTGAAAAAAGGAGGTGTTTTGTGTCTTTTTGAAAAGAGGGACTTAGCGCCACTCATGAGGAGTCTAGAGGGGATCTTTGGAGAGAAAATTGGTGTGAGTTTAGAGAGGAGATGAAGATGTAATTTTCCACCATGTCTGGAGAGATTGTTGAGGGATTTTGAGAGATATGCGTAAAGGAATTGTATGAGCATTGCATTGATCAGTATGAGACTTTGTTGGAGGGATTTTCATCTTTCTTTTAGATGCAAAAAGCTAAGTATTGTGTTCTTGATTATCTTGTAAATGTTGCAAAAATTTTCTAATGGATTTGATTTAATTTAATGAAGTTTTTTGTTGTGTTTAATCCTTATTTTATGAGTAGTTTTCTTTACTCCTTACTTTTGATATAAGTAGTGGCATGAGTAGTAAAATTTGTTTCATGATAGAATTGTTTTTGATTTTTTGTGATGAGTAATATCTCTTTTGCTTCATTGACATAGCTTAAGTGGCAATATGTTATATTAAAATCTGTTGTAAGTGAAACCAAGACTAGGGAGAGTAGTGATCTCACAACATGAGTGCACTCACATTGACCGGTTGGCTATGGTAACGTAGTTTAGGCGATAATGCAACTTTTAAGTAAATATAATTAATGATCTATTTCTATTAGAAGCTTCTAGGTGACAGATAGATGCATAAATCTAATAGAATTCTAAATATACCTATACACTCAAGAGAAGGTAGGTAGACAAAAGTTTCTTGTTAACACATAATTAATTCATAATTCTATCAATTCTCTGACTATGTATGCCCTTATCTTCATTTTACTCTTCTTCTGCAATGGATTGAAATCATGTTTGTGAATTTAGATTTGCTTAGATCTTCGCTTATTTCATTATTGTGATGATATTTTCACCAGCTCTTAATTTACTTTACAAATTGATCACTTTTACTGTTAAAATCTGTTACTAAATAGAGTCACCCGAAAGGGCTATGATTTCACCAACTAGTGAAGACCACACTCATCTTTGGAAAGAGTCAAGGCGATCATTCAAGGGGGAGTGCAAAAAGATAGGGAGATAAGTTTTGATGGGCGTAGAAATGGAGATTTTTTGGTGACAAACTAAAATCCCCAATTTTGTCCAGATGAATCTAAAGTAAGATGTTAGCTTATAGGTGAGGGCAAGTGGGAACTCTAAAGTCAGAGCTAGTATCTTCCAAGCCTTATGATACACCTAAAATATACAGTCTTTATGTACACATTTTATACCTATTTTTGAGATATTGCACTTTAATGAAAGGTGTTTGTGTGTTTTTATTTATGATACAATCAAATGGATGAAAAATGGTAAAGTAAGCGAAAAATGATCAAATTTAGACCAAAAATAAAGAAAGTGCAAAAATGAACTGAGGCGTATAAGCGCCCAGGACTGGCACTTACACTCCAGTTAAATATAGAGAGCCGCACCTAAGCGTCAGAAGTAATTATTTGATGATTCATAGAATTTGGATGAATTTTTAAAGAGGGTGCTTGAAGCAACCCTTGGTAAAAACGTTGAAAATAATTCATGGACATGAAAATTCATATAACTGGCTTTTGAAAGGAGACAATTTATAGAAGATTCATTGAATGGAGACATATTTTGAAGACACACCAAGGCACCTCTTTGATTTTTATTAAAGAAGACATGGATCATCAAAGGAAGAGGTCAGCCAATCATCATCCATCCATCCAAAGTAATCGCCGCCGCTGCCGCCGATAACCTTTTCTTTTTATTTTGAGTTTTAGTTTGTATTGTGAGGGAATGATAAGTATTCAAAGGAACTTCAAGACATTTGGTGGAGAGGATTTGAGATAAGTTTTTATCTTTGTGATTACATTTGGTTTTATTTTAGACTTCTTTATCTTTTTCCTTAAAATGACAAGTGATTAAGTATTGAAAGGAAGTTGTGTGAAGTACTAGGCTTTAATGTTGGAAGAAGTTGTGATGATTTTAAAACTTGTACTTCATTTACTTCTTGATTTGACCAATTAAGATGTTAATACCTATTTTGAGAACATGTAAGATCTGAGATGATATTGTCATAGTCAACAAATAGTAAGAATCACAGTGATTTTATGGATAAGAATGTAATTTATGGGATTGAGTGCATAGGGAAATAAATTTTAAAGGGTGTAGAGTTAGAGGACTTTAGAGTGACAGGTTAAAATCACCAATTTGATTTATAGCTTTAAGTTTTGATATGAGATGTTAGCTTCCAGGTTGAGGGAGAAGAGGGAACTCTAAAGTGACAGCTAATATCTTCCCTACCTAACCCTTCTTCAAGACTATTCAAATAAAGATTAGCTAATGTTCTTTATAACATCTTTAGTAAGGGTAAAGAATATTATTGCTCCTATTTGGCACAACACAATTAAAATACTTCTACAACATAATTCTTATGCTTGTTACAGATTCATGATAAGCAAAAATATATTTTATTTATATCGTCTTCATCTTGCAATTATTTAGTTAAGTTAATTAGTTGCTCACTTTATTTTCAATTATAAAAAAATCATAAAAAGAATCAAATTTTTCATTCCTATTATAACATCTAGAGTTTAAGTAAGAATAATTTGCTAACTAAAATTTGGTTATCTAATTTTGTTATCTTTGTAAAGTTGCATATTGTTAGTTATCCCTGTGGGTTCGATATTCGAGGTTTATGTGGGTTCGATATTCGAGGCGATATTCGAGGTTTAATCAAAAAGTTTAATATTACTTGATAATGATATGTATACTTGCATAGTATCCCATATAAAATATTATAACTGCATTCTTATTTCTCTTATTTGTTTCATAGTAGAAAACTTACCTAGCTTTTGTTTTGAATCAAATTTTTGGCTTTGTTGCAAAGTAAGAATATTTATTAAGGAAATTAAGTTATAATCACATACATCACATTTGACATCTATAAAGAGATTCGGGATCAAGTTTTTTGGCGCCTTCGCCGGGAATAATTACAAAATTTCTAAAAAAAATTTTAGAAAGAAAAATTTCTACATTTCTATAAAGTCTTATTTAAACTTTTAGATTTATTATAGGAATATTGCAGTGTTGTTTTTATATAAAGTTCTTGTTTATGTGTTTGTATTTATTTTTTTATGTGTTTTGCAGTAGTGTTTGAGTAGCTCAGGTTCCACAAGACTTATGCATTGTAATTTTAAATTAGAAAGAACTATTAGAAAAATTAAAAAATTAAAAATTACTGAAAAAATTCAAAAATTTCAATAAATAACAAATAAAAATAATCAAAATACTGAAGTGTTTAGACCTTTAAGAGATTATGCAAACACTACGATGGATGAACTTTATTGTAGTATTCAAACACCCAGTGTAGTGAATAATTCATTTGAACTTAAACCAGCTATTATCCTAATTATATCTAATAATCAATTTGGGGGAGCATCAACTGAAGATCCAAATTTACATCTTACCAATTTTTAGAATTGTGTGCTACATTTAAATATGATGGTGTATGAGATGATGTTATAAGACTTAGATTATTTCCTTTCTCACTGAGGGATAAGGCTAAGATATGATTACATTCGTTATCACCTGGATCTATCAGAACTTGGGTGATTTAGCGTAGAAATTCCTTGCTAAATATTTTCCACCATAAAACACTGTGAAATTTAGAAATGATATTACATCTTTTTGCTAGTTTGAAGGGGAAATTATTTATGAAGCATGAGAACTATTTAAATAACTACTGAGAAAGTGTCCAAACCATGCTATACAAGATTGGTTAATAATTCAAACCTTTTTACAATGAATTAGCTGGATCTCTTACATCTATTATCGATGTCGTTGTTGGTGATTCATTGATGCCAAAATCATTTAATGTCGCTTATGCTTTGATTGAAGAGATGATTATAAATAATTTTTAATGGCCATTGGAAAGAGTAAATTTTAAGAAAGTAGCCAAAATTCATGAAACTGATGCTTTTGACATGTTAACAAATAAAGTTGCTGCAATTTCAAGGAAGTTAGAAAATTTTGGAATGAATTTTTCTCTATCAATTGCATTGCATTGATTCAAGAGAATTTATTAGGCTAAATGGTGTATTTTCAAGCATCATTAGAAACATTGAATGCCATAAACAACAAGCAGAAAAACCCATATTCAAATTATTATAACCCAGGTTGGAAGAACCATCCCAACTTTAGCTGGAATAATACTTCGGGTGGTACTAATCAGCAATGGGGGATCAATCAAGTAAACCCATTGGAAAACTGGAGCAACCATTGGAATAGTAATTATAGACCTACTTACCTTCCCAGTTTTAATAGTAATCCACAATTTAAGGAGAAAAAAATTGTCTATAGAAAAAGTGGTGTTACAAATGAGAAATCAGTTAAAAAGTCAATAAGATATAATTAGAAATTTTGAGAATCAGTTAGGACAAATAGCAAATTCATTAAGTAATAGATCCCAAGGAACACTTCCTAGTAATAGAGAAGTAAATCCAAAAGACGAGAACCCAGAATATATAGCAAGTAAAAGCTGTTCAATTTAGAAGCAGAAGAGAATTGGAAGGTACAGTTCAAAAAGAAATTGAAATAGAGAGAAAAGAAATTGAAGAGCTTGAAGAGGATGACCAGAAAAGTTTAGAGAGACCTATTTCTCTACTTAAAGTTAACTTTGTAAAACCACCACCTCCATTTCCTCGGAGACTCCGTCAATAAAAGTTGGATAAACAATATTCAAAATTTCTGGAAATTTGTAAGAAGCTTACCATTATATTCCATTTGCTGAAGCCTTAGAATAAATGCCAAGCTATGTGAAGTTTATGAAGGATATTTTTAACAGAAAAAGGAAGTTCAAAGATAACGA